ACAAGGGACCTGACTTCCTAGCCAATCGCAGCTTCAACCATGATTTTCTTGCTTTTCTGTGAATAGAGTGGTTGGAGGGATGGCCAACAGCTCATCGAGGATTTTCGCATGTTCAGCCATGCTTCCCCGCGCGAACATTCACTTTCGCTCCACTTGCGAGCCGTCTGTTTTCTCCGCGCCATACATTCACTCTCCATACTATCATCACACAGCACAGAGCCATGCTCGACGACGTTATTCACCTTGCCTGCGACCCCTAAGAAAAATCAAGGCAAAAGCCGAAGCATCGGCTAGCCAGTCTATAGTATTCGCCTAGTCTATTCTGTGTTTAGACTTCATATAGAAGGGCCATTGAAGCATTTATCAGTTTACAGTATACAAACAAAACCTATATCTATACATAACAGTAATATTTACACGAATTATTACAAATACTGAAACATTCTTATTTGTTGTCTGTTCCATGAAGTTGATCATACTTGCACTTCTGCGATGCCTAAACGAGCTAATATTTGCCGAAAAAATCAAGCCCTATCATTAACCAACTTAAATGAAGCGGGTGCGCAAATCAATGTTTTCGCAGCAGGAGCTGCCTTTCTCGTAAGCAGATAATTTCCAGTACTCAAAGTTTGCTATAGACCACTAAGAAATACCGTAGACCATACCTGATAAAGAAGGGTAGCAATAAGAGCGATGGCAAGTAGGATACAGAGCGCCAACAACAACCACGTCGCTGTTTGCCATGCTGATGCACCGGTTATTCTGCAATTACCGTATTCTTTCTCATAGCTTCATGAATGACTCTTTAGTTTTCAACACTGCATTCATTAAATTGGAAATGACTACCACAGTAGCTGGCTCAATAGGTCCAACCGAATTTTCCAAGATCACTCCACTCAAAACACTTACAAGGCAGGTGATTCAAAAAACCGGACAGATTTTGTGAAACAGAAACTGGGATCATTGCTTGCTCCATCGTTCGAAACTAGCAAGTGTTCACGAACACTGCCTTATTTGGTGTTGGGTGTTCCTGTCCTCAACGCAGAGCCAAATGAGCAAAGAACAGGGTTCAAAACCTTTTCTTAACAGTTTTGCATGCTTGTTGAGTCACCTAGTTCTTCCCCACGTACTAATCGGACGGAATTAGGTCCTAGCATGGTTCTGATGGCAAAGCACTGTTGGTTTTTGCGACCAAAATCGAGAGTTTATGGAACAAATAGTTGACCGGTAATCAAGGAGAGCAACCGAAGCTGCTACGCACCTCTAAGCCACTGGGCAAAAATTCCATTCCCGTCCCCACTAG